TCAGCTTCGTCTAAAACATTTTCAAGCCTCTAGTTGGCAGTGTTACAAAGTTTCTTTACTCTCACTTCCCCCCTCCTTTCCCAGATAAAACGTAATTGAAGTTAAAAAGAAAAAGAGAAAGTATATAAATAAAAAAAAAGAAAAATAACTAAAGGGAGCCTCTAACCTAAAATGTTGCAAAATCAAAAAAGAGAAGAAAAAATAGATGTAAATAGGAAAAGAACCAGTCCAGTTAGCAAATGCAAAATCACGATAGTCCAGCAATAAGAAAAAAGAAACAAAAAACAAAGCCTTCCTTTGACACTTACGTTTAAAACCGCCGCTTATTCAGTTCTGTCAAAACAAATTCTTTCTTTTCCTTAGGGTGTCCTTTTAAGTCTTAGAATAATAAAAGAAAAGTTCTCACCAAACTGACACACTTTCTCTTTCTAGTCTCTTCCATTCGGAGCTGTCCCACCTTCAGCAGCTTTAATGGCTGCCTCTCTGCCGCTGGCACGAAGGGCTTCTCCTGGACCAACCAGGGACTTTGTGATATCCCTGGGATCTACAGGATGCGCTCTTCACTATCGCCGTCTCTTCAGGACAGTTTAGGTCAGTTTGAACCGTCCAGGGGCAAAGATATTGGCTGCGATCTCAGACCTCCAAGATTGCATGCCGTGTCGTTGCGACGCCAGCTCCGCCCTCAAAAAAATGTGGCTTTTTCCATCCACATTGCTCAGGATGCTGGAGAAGATGAACTGGTGACCATTTTCAAGCATTGGCTGAAGTTTCCCTTGCTAAGTTAATGGGCAGATGGAAACTCAACTTAAAGTGTGTGCGTGGATCCAAGGGGTGTCATGAATTCTCAGCTCCAAAAATGAATGAATATGGAAGAAATATGTACATTAGCAGAAATGTATACAAGTAAAAATATTTCAGAAAATGTTCATATACATTTTAATAAAATAGGTGTTCATTTTTAAGTTGAAGTTTCATTTTTAGAGTAATTGTATAGAATAAATATGAGTCTAACTAGATGCCAAACTCATTAGGGTCAGAAATTGACTGAACTGTTCAGCCACATATATTTTTACTATTGAGCAAGGTAGAGTTATTTTTTAAAATAATTTTTTTTATATTTACAATAATTCCATCTTTCATTCATACAGTGTGTCGACTGGGTACATATATTTTGTGCTAAGTTGTAATTAATACTTTTCTTACCAATATAACAATAATCACATTTTCTTTATAAGCCATTATTTCTTATATCTATTACTTTTATAGCAATCTTAGCTTATTCCTCTATATATTCATCTACTAAGTTTTAACTTGTTTTATTTTCCAACCATTGATAAAATAAGTCCCATACCATGTAATATTCAGCTTCTCCTTTTTCTTGAACAAGGTAGAATTATTATATAGAATAATCACAGTGTGACTTTTATTCATGAATATTTTATTATTCATTAAATAAATTTATTTTTTACAATTCTATAAATATATAACAGGTAAAAATATAAAAAGCATTTAAAAATAATAAACACACACACACATAAACAAACACGCACCAGAGGTGGTATTCAGCAGGTTCTGACCAGTTCTGGAGAACCGGTAGCGGATATTTGAGTAGTTCGGAGAACTGGCAAATCCAACCTCTGACTGCAGATTTTACTGTATACATCCCCTGCCACGCCCACCAAGCCACACCCACAGAACTGGTAGTAAAAAAATGGAATCCCACCACTCTCTCACGCACACACGGATTGTGATGACCCATAGTCTCTCTAAATAACCCCAAACCCAAAACATACATTAAAGTCAGTGAGCACCAACTCATCCAGGAGTTCCGACAACCAACCCTCCTGAAACTTGTCTAATAGTGCTGCCTCATTCCATTGTACATCCTGAGCAACCACCTGAAAACTAGCAATATAATCCATGAGGGAGCCACGCCCCTGCTTCAACTCTCTCAAACGTCTGTTTGCTGTTTGGCTTCGAACAGGGTCCTCAAACATGGCCTGAAACTGACGGCAAAACTCAGCGTAAGTCCAGCACCTGGTTGGGCTGGGTCAACAGAGGCGTCGCTCAACGTGCTGCAGAGCCTGACAACAAACTAATCAAATCCTCCACCTTATCCCAGTCAGTGGGAAAGTCCTCAGGCCGAAGGCTCATGTAAAGCTGGCACTGCCCAAAAATGCTGGAAATTGGGCCAGTGAGCCATCAAATTTATCTGGCACTGCCACTGGGCATTTTCGGCGTGGCCGGGCAGCTTGCATTTGTGCCACCTGTGCAGTGAAAAGAGCCACTTGCTGGGTTAACTGGGCAATCTCTGCTCTGAGCTGATCCATGGTCACCCCACAAAAAGCAAAAATAAGTTGAAGGGGTGGCTGGAGTCAAAATGTGATGACCTGTAGTCTCTCAAAATAACCCAAAACATACATTAAAGTCCGGTAATGCCTTCATTTTAACTTCACTGTTTTATTAGGCACAATTTAAATAATGAGGCAAAAAGAAAACCAAAACAAACCGCATTGACAAAAGTTCTGAAGCAAGCCAAGATAATTAATCATACATTCCAGGAAGACAACCAAAGAGAGCCCATGGGAAGAACGCCAGCAAAGATAAACCTCTTTCAAAGTAAACACTAAACTTTGATTCCAGCAATTCTGACTACGCAGTTACAAACTTACATGCATAGCTCCCAGCTGCAAGCCATGAGGAGGATCATGGTTATCTCCTCCTGAGTAGACCTTGCTTTTCCCTGATCCTCTCCTCCCTGCATGACCTAGGATGGATAGGGGATGGGCCTGGATGCTCCTCTGATTGCTCAGCCGGCCTCTGCCCTTTCCCAGCCTCCTCCACCACCTCTGGAGCCACACTCCCACTCCCTGTTGGCTGTTCCTCCTCTTCCTCAGAGTCAGTCTCCACCAGGGGCATGACACGGATATACGTAACTCATAGTTATGTTTAAATACATTCACTTAAAAGAAGAGAACCTATGTCTAAGTAAATATGTTTAGGGGTTATGTGCAATTTTCCCTCTGCTATTACATGCATACCATAGAAAATGTCCAAGTATTTATGTGTCATATAGTTATAAAATACCCTGATCTCAAATTCATGAAGCACATCACGAAGCAATAAATAATTGTGGCTGCATTACCTCAAAAGATGAAAATAATTTTTTACCAAGCCATCTGTCTACCTATCTATACATATATATTTTTTTGAGTTAGTGTTTTATCTATTTCACCACTGAGGGAATGGAAGCATGATTAGATACACTTTCCCTGGAGTGATTTATGCAGATGTGTGTAGATACTGGATTAAAGATTGGAGGTTCCTTATGTTTCTTATATAATGGATTTCCTACCTAAATAGCCTTTCATTTTCCAGTGACTTATTTTAATTCTACCACAATGTTTGGTTCCCATCTCCTAAAAAAGATTTTCATTTTTTATTTACATCTAATCTTCACTATGCCCATTGCATTAAAAAAAAGTCAATAGTGCAAGAGTTGCTGTGTGAGGCATCAAAGACAATAAGTTTTGCTGTTGCTAAATTGTTGTAATCCTGGGTAAATCTGAATTTATTAGCACAATAGAAAATATATTAAAATATAGAGCTGGTTTTTTTACCCAGACCCCTTGTTGGTTTATTGGATGCTTCTTATAATCATTTATTTCACAGAAGTGTCAAGAAAAGTTTGAGTGGACTATAATACCAGAATTTAGTCTGAGTCTATTGGAAAATAATTGTCTTGTTGACTGGTTATATGCCATCAGGTTTTATTTATTATTTATTTAGCATATGACAAATACACAGACTTATAGTGGTTCAAATGTTAATGTCCAGTCCACCCAGCCATTCAAGGACAGGGTGGTCTATGTTAAAAAAAATTGGGCCAGTGTAAGACATTGGGCCGGTGTAAGCTCTTGATGGACATTTGGACACAATGTGATGGATATTTTGTCAAGGAGCACCACAGTCATACTGAGGGGTACAGCGACCAATTTGATGTTGATTTTTAGCATCCACTTAGACCTTATCCACGATGATCTATCTCTAGCTCAGCTATTCATGTCTCTCAACAGTGCTCAACAGTACCATAGTTAGTGTAATTGAGTCTGTCCAACTTGTTGCTCAGCCTTGACTTCTCTTTCTTTCCACTTTTTTCCAGCATTGTGGAGCTCTCAAGGAAGCTGGGACTTTGCATAATGCATTCAAAATATATTGAGATTGGTCACTTTTGCCTCAAGGGAGAACTCTAACTTGATTTGTTCTGTGATTCACATTTATTTTCTTGACTTTTCATGGTATACTCAACAGTCTTCTCAAACAGCAACTTCAAACACATTAGTACTTAATTTTTATCCTGCTTCTTCAAAGTCCAATTTTCAGTTCCCTAGAAGCCTCAGAGTACACTGAGAACACAATTCTGTTTTGAATAGGTATATAGACACCATGGCATTTGGATACCTTTTCCATTATCCTAACAAATGTTAGTCTGAAGCTTATTTCTTGATCACTGGTTCCTTTATTTTTGATTGTTAAACCTAAAAGAAGAGGGTATACACCACTTCAGTATGTTTATTGTTGATTCTAAGGCTGGTTAGAGTATCTATTATCATTAGTTTGGTCTTTTTTATCAATAATTTTAATCCCATTTTTTCCAACTATCCTCCTTGACTTTCATTTCTATAACGGGCAGATCATTAATATTTTCAGCTATCAGTGTTATGCTATTAGCATAATGCAAATCATTTGCTTCTTTCTCCAATTTTAAAACTATGCTCATCTTCTAATTTTCCTCCTTCAATAGTCAGCATATAGTTTGAATAAATAAGAAGAGAACAGGCAATGTCTCATTCCTTTTTTGACATGGAGTCAATCTATTTAGCTGTGATTTGTCGAGAGAGTACTTCTTATCCATGTATAAACCAGGTTGAATATCTGGCATTTCCCTTTCCATACAGGGTTGCAGTCCGGTTAGGTAATTCTAAACATTATTTTCTTACCATGTAAAATTAAGGATATTGTGTGACAGTTGTATGCTCTTCATAATTCACTAGCATTGGTATATAGGCTGGCTTTTTCGAAACTATTATTGTTTTTCAGATTCAATGGCATAGACCTTTTATTGTTGATCTGTTGTTCATCATATTTCTCTAAATATTCCATAACTTCTTGTAGTCATCCATCTAGGTAATGAGTGGGATGCTCATCAAACAGCAATTTTTAGTTTTTGTAAATAGGAAATATCTTCTAAGACATCTTGGATGTTGACATTTCTACTGTATAGAATCTCAGCATACTCTTGCCATCAGTTTTGATATTCTTTGAACCTGTTATTATCTGCTAATTGGAGTCTTGTAGCATAGCAATTTGAAGTTGGAACCTCCAGATATGTTTTGGAAAGCTTTCCTTATTATTTTCATGACTGCTTTCATCTTTGATGTCTTTACAGATGTTGTCATACTGCTTCTTGTCTTTTCTAAGATTTTAGGAAGAGAATTGTGTTGATCTATGGAGACAAAAAATTGAAAGATTTGATGAAGTAAACAGTAGCTCACAAAAAGTATGCCTTTTAATTAAAAGTTGTTAGTTGGAAAAGGTGATCCTGGATTCATTATTATTATTATTATTATTGTTGTTGATGTTGTTGTTGTTGTTTTTGGTCTTTTCTTTGTAAAGTTTTTTCCTGAGATCTTTATCTTCCTTTATTTTGGCTTCTCGTTCCACTATCTATTTTGATACCCAATTTATTTTGCTTCCTTTTTTCAATCTTTGTAATGTCTTTTAACATTCTTTTTTAATTATCATTTTTTTTATTGTATAAAATACAAAAAAAGGAAAAGAAAATAGGAAATTAAGGGAAGGAAAGTGAACAGGAAAAGGGAGTTGAAACAGTTTATGTCCGGGATGTGAGGGGTCTGTAAATAATTTCACAGCCCTCTTTTTGACTCGTGTAGTATACAGGTCTTTGATTGAAGGCAGGTGGGTAGTAATTGTTTTTTCTGCAGTCCTAGTTATCCTCTGAAGTCTGTGTCTGTCCTGTTGGGTTGCAGAACCAAAATTATAGAGGTGCAGATGATAGACTCAATAATTCCTCTGTAGAACTATATCAGCAGCTCCTTGAGCAGTTTGAGTTTTGTGAGTTGGTGCAGAAAGAACATTCTTTGTTGTGCTTTTTTGATGCATTTTTGATGTTAGGTGTCCATTTTAGATCATGTGAAATTTGAAGGTCTCTACTGTTGATACTGTGTTGTCTAGTATTGTAAGAGGTGGTAGTATGGGAGGGTTTCTTCTAAAGTCTACCAGCATTTCTACAGTTTTGAGTGTGTTCAGTTCCAAATTGTTCCGGTTATACCACGAGGCAAGTTGTACCACCTCCTGTCTGTGTGTGGATTTGTCATTGTGTCGAATTAGACCAATCACTGTTGTGTCATCAGCAAACTTCAGTATTGTAACAGATGGATTGTTTGAGATGCAGTCATTGGTATATAGGGAGAAGAGAAGTAGAGAAAGCACACAGCCTTGGGGAGGGTGGGGGGCTGTGCTAATTGTACAGGTATCAGATGTGATTTTGCCTAGCTTCACCTGCTGCTTCCTGTCTGTTAGGAAGCTTATGATCCATTTACAAGCGTGTTAAGGTACCGCTTGTTGGTTTAATTTACTTGGAAGAATGTCTGGAATGATGGTATTGAATGCTGAACTGAAGTCTACAAAGAGGACCCTTGCATTTGGAGATTCAAGGTGTTGTAGGATATAATTCAGATCCATATTAAATCAGAGATCATCTGAACCATTTTCAATCTTATTACATGAATCATTTAGGATGTTCAATCATAAACCCTGGGGTGTTTTAATAAACAAAGATACTATATAAAGTATATAAAGTATGGCATGTTATATTTCTGGCATCTATGTTATGTTGTGGTAGAATCATATCATAGCATGACATTTGAATCTCACCATCTTAAATCTAGAACAGTTCAAAGTCCCATCTGAAAAATGTAGCTAGTTTATTAAAGTTATTTTTGTTTCTCTTGAAATCCCTCTGATTTTAATACAGGGAAGAACTTTTGGATTCAGCTAAAATTATTGCTTATGCAAATGAATCCTGGAATATAGGACTGTGCAGCTTTGAAGTGCTTCTAAGCTGGCCAATGAGTTTGACAACTGTATTAGATTTGCTGCCTCTCAGAGCTCTTTCACTTGCTCAGCAATCAGTGTCTTTAACATATGTAACATTTTTAACACCTTAATTTTGCTCTCTTTTATGATCGCTAACATTCCACTTCTGGCTGATATTAGTCAACAAAAATGGGTGCTCAGTTCAGTTTTCAGCATTTTCACCAGTCCTGTTTCAATTCAATAATGGAAGGTTTAAATTCCCAGCCATGTGAAATTGTTTCAAGTTAACACTTACAACTATCGTCCCAAATATTTAGCGCTTTTAAGAATAGGAAGTAAAAAGACTATGAATGTCATGCCTGCCTCTTTCCCATTGGTCTGCTGCTCTGTGTTACAAAATATGTCATGGAGCTTGTCTGCTTCTTCTAGCTAGGAGGCCTGTATGAACTGACACAGATATACTTCAACAAAGCAACTCTGAGTGAGGAGACAACTTCATTTATTTTGCTGAAATGGAGACACAAGCCACTCCACCTCAACAAACAATTCCATTGGATTCAAATCATTTGGACCACTGGTGCAGGAGAAAGTCCCTCTCAGCCTTGGCCCTCAACACTGACTGAAATACTTCCATGTTGGGTGGCTCTGGGACTTCAACTTTCATTGATGCCATCCATCTTGGAAGAACTGAAAGCTAAACAACTTCATAGTCAAAGAAGATTCTCCTCTTTGGTACTAATTAAGCCAATAAAACACCATCTTGTTCATTATTCACATTTTCTGAGCAGTTGTATGAACTACCCTTTTAACTGCTGGTTCCCCCCCCCCCCCATCAAATCATTTCTGAGTTTGCTCATCTTTAAGAGCCGTGGTGGCACAGTGGTTAGAATGCAGTACTGTATGCTACTTCTGCTGCCTGCCCGCTGCCTGTAATTTGATAATTTGAATCTCACCAGGCTCAAGGTTGACTGAGCCTTCCATCCTTCTGAGGTGGGTAAAATGAAGACTCAGAATTGTTGGGGGCAATATGTTGACTCTGTAAACCACTTAGAGAGAGCTGTAAAGAATTGTAAAGTGGTATATAAGTCTAAGTGATATTACTATCTTGTTCCAAGCAACTGGATCTTTGTTTCTTATGGGGAAAAAATTGCTGACTAGATGTAGCAAAGACTTGTTTGCGAGTGTTAATGACAAGAATTAAGATAAATTAATGGTACTATCAGACTTGATAGTGAATAAAATGCTTGCAGTGCCAAAAAAGTCCACACAGAACCAAATAAAGCATGGTAGTTGTGTTTTAAATGTTGACAAATATTTAGATAAAATAAAAGATCAGTGTCCAAGACTGGTAATGTAGTTCTTCATGTTTCTATTATGGGACAAAGAAACAGAGAATTATAATGTATACACCAAGAAGATGGATTGATAATACTTTCTTTTGAATTTGTATGCATTATTCTTTAGGAATAGTAAGTTGAAATGTCATGAGTGAGTTGTGAGTGATAGATCCAAACTGAATCTAAGCTGAAGAAGTGTGTCCTTGAAGTCAGTGGAGCTAAACTCAGAGTTTCTTCAGAAATAAAAATAGAAATGATAAAAAGCTAAGTTATTTACTGATCAGGCAACGGCAACAGAAAACTACTTGAGGAAAATCATAAAAAGAAAGGGAAAAAAAAGAAAGAAAAGCCTTCCAGGCATATGAATAAGATGGTACATTTCTATCATTCAGAAGCCCTGGAAATCATTCAGATTCCCACTAATGGAAATGTTTAATATATTCTTTTAAGAAAATTCCCTCTGATAAGGACACATACGGGGCCAATTACATGTTCAATTAATGTCTTGGATTTTTTTAAAAAGATGTTAAGGTATTTTTGAAAGTGCATGAGACAAGGCTAAATAGTTTGTCAGGGGCAGAATTACACAGAAAAAATGGGTAGTAGTCCTAAAACACATGGTTCAAAATGTGAATTTATGATTTACATATCCCAGAATCAATATGATGAGTTATACTTAATATATAAATATAAGCAAAGTCTAAGTACTTATAAGTAATGAGTATTTTACACCAAAAGAGTTTCAGTAATATTTAATATATAATTTCTTAAACATTATTGCAAACATATTTTGACTACCATGTATCTGCTACAGTCATCATATTCAGTAGATGATCCAAGTTAACTGAATTCAAATTAGAGTTAAGGTTGAGATTATTCTCTGAGGAATCTCCATCAGAAGAAGAGAATGAAGATTGGCTGTTTTTCTCTAGAGGGCTGCTGCCATTTCAGACCGATTCTAGAGAACCGGTAGTTCCAATGATCAGCTGGCTCCACCCACCCACCCACCCTCGCCCTATCCTGTCCTATATTTTCATCTTTTTCAGCTCAGCTGATTTGCATGGCACAGTGGATTTCCGCACCTCAGCTGTTCTACTTACCAGGGCTGCCCTAGAATGTAAGTTGTAGAGGTTCAAATTGGTGTCTTTTTAATGCTGCGTGCTTACAGAACTGGTTGTTAAACCGGTTGCAGCCCACCACTGTCTAAAGGTCTTGAAACTACCAGAAAGTGAAGTAGATGAAGCCTGCCTTTTCAAATCCTACCCTATTCTTGAAACAATCTCACCATCCTCAGTCTCTCTACACCATTCTATCAGAAGAACATACATGCATTGGAAGGCATCAGGATCGAGAACCTTTTCAAACTAATGGCTGTCAGCTGAATGTGATGGAATTGTCTGCAGTCAAATGTTGGACACAAATGGTAATGATTCTTGTGAGTTTATGTACATATCTATGGGTTTGCTTACTCTTATTTCTGATCCCTGGATTGGATGTTGACTACTCTTCTTGGCGTTTCTTCTTTCTTGTGACCAACATTCTTTCACGAACCTTCGCTGGACAGGATACCTTCACAGTGCTGTTAATCTTCAGTTTCTGTTTATATATATTTGAGTGGCAATGTCATACCATTTTGATCACATTGCCAAACTTTTGAGGAACATAGACAACATAGTTCCTCATGCCAGGGATGTGAGGAAGATAAATAAGGCAGCTCTCTCTCCTCTTCATCATATGCTTGGTTACATAACATTTTTTTTTAATACACAAGAAAGTCTGTTGGCAGTACAGTGAACAAGAGGGAAGGCCAGCTCTCAGAGGAAATAAAGACAAATGCTCCTCAGGATGGAGAAAGAAGATAACTAACTTCAGTTCACTTCCTGGGGAGCATATGCTACAGTGAATACTACTAATTAAAAATGCTATCTGGTTTAACATGCCATGTTGAGTCTTTTCAAGTTCATTCATGTGTCAAAATTAATCACAAAATCAAAATGACCGTTATAAAATTGCAGTTTTCAGTATCTCTTCTGATGTGGTGGCCAATTGG